TCTTGTGAAATTACAATTTCAAAACAGTTCCGAGAGCTCAATCAGCACCCATAGTATCCCCCATCGCAGTAGCAGTCGTCGTCGCAACTATGTTCTTCAGTGCAGTAAGATCATATTCGACAGCCAGCTACAACCTGCGGACTCTAGTCGATCAGACATATTCGACAAGGCAATTAGCCCAGCATAAAAAACTGCACGTGTGTTGTTTTTAGCGAATTTCTGGTTTCGCAACACACCCATATCTTTCAATTGGTCAAGCCACACGTCTGAAATCGCACTGAGGATGCCGTCCCCGTAATCTCAGAGATATTGACTGGTTAAGTAAGGGGTGTTGGCCTTCCCATTCAGAGCAGGGGTGTCCTGCTTTAATGCTGCATACCACTAGAAGATCAAAGCTCATAAGAACAATAATCATAAGAACAATAACGACAATTATAGCCAAAGAAGAGAAGAAAACCAATACTAAGAATAAAAAAGCTGGTGGGGATTGGGGTGCTCCAAGCCAGAGGCTTCTCTGCGCCTTGCGCGGAAAAGCTAACGTGGAAGGCCGCGAGCCTTGCATCTTCACCCTGAGACCTAAAATCTAAACCCTACATTCAGCACTGACCTCCGTTTCATGCGCATTCGTAACCGAATGGGAATGATCGGGACCCTACCGTTGATGGCACTTGCAATAAAGACTCTTGAAGCAACGGGTTGAATAGCCGGGAATCTTCCTTAGGGTTGAGCGTTGCCCTGAGTCCAGTAGCAAAAAGGGCAAATAGGTGTCAAACGCAGAGGTACGCTCAATGCGGTTCAGAAGTCACATGAAGGGTTTGCAAAAGAAGCACTAATCGGTGAAGGAACTGGGAGGCTTGCTCGCCGCAGGTATTGAGTTGGGACAAAGATTTTGCATGTTCTTCGGGACTGAATGGTTTCGTTGTGCAAGGCTACTAGCTCAAAACGATACGTTGGGGTTTAGTGTAAGGTTTGGGGAGCAAGATGTGACGCAATGGGGACAGCAGTACCTGGAGCGCTTGATTACCTATAGATTACCTATAACCTGTACATTAAATTACCTTTTTGCACTTATCTCGCCCTACCATAATGCTGAACGGTTAACTTTTTTGGGCAAGGGGATTCAGCAACCAGGGTGGAGAGTAGAGAAGCAGAACTCCCGTCATACTACTTGCATGTCGAGACCACCGGGCCTTTACAGCAGATGTTGTGGGATGGTAGCAGGCTCCCCAACTCCCCACCTTCTTTCAGTCAGAGGCTCATGCGCCATGAAACCCGTTGCCCGTTGAATCACGGGCCGAAGCCCGGAACCCTAAACCCTAAACTCACAAGGCGGAAAAAGGCCCGGCTAAAAAAAAAACTCACAAGAAACATCGTCTCCGTCGTCGTCCCAAGTTGCACAGGCGGAACAAGTGAAGAGATGAACTCGGTCATCATCTATAAGGGCCGGCCCTTGCACCACGGCTTCAGAGTCGAATGGAGGAGCGAGCTTTAGGGTTTAGGGGTTAGAGTTTAGGAATTACGGCGCCTCGGTGCCTGGCATATGCATAGACCAGATGTAACAGAAAGGGAACTTACCAATACTATTCCTCCTTAGAACTCCTTAGCACAAGCATAGTATGACATAGCCCCAAACCTTCTTTATGTTCTCACGGCCCCTATGTTACTGTAGGGGGTTTTTCGACACGGTGTAGCAGCTATAAGGGATCTCGCCAGTCTCAGGGTCCCAAAGGGAATTCAGGAATATTTCAGGCCTCTTCCTTTGTTTAGCGGGTTTTAGGGTTTAGGGCTGCTGGACAACGAGGCCTGTTNNGGGGGGGGGGGGGGGGGGGGGGTATCGTTGATACACCTCAGCTCTTCACTTTCAGCCCACGGGTTTGAAGGTTTGTTTCTGGATTCCGCCTTCAAGCACCTTGCAAGGCCCACAACATAACTTGCTCAGGGCTTGGGGTGAAGGTCGTACATAGACGAGTTCGTTTAGGTGTCGGCGTAAGCCTTCAGAGTGTGATTGTTTCCAACCCGACTGGCAGTCAAGTCTCCGTGGTCGGAGTTGTCTGTTGCAGGTCTTCCCGCATGCAACGTATCACCGTTTGCTGGTCATGTGCGTCACGTAAGGTCGTGAAGCTACTACCTCCTGACTTGATGAAAGATGCCTGCCTCATATAGAGGCCTATAACTGCCAATACTATTTTTCGCGTTCTTTAAACCAACTGTATAATTAATATAGTCCAAAATACCCTGTGCTCGTGTTCCATTCAGGCCCCTATAGTAATCCCCAAGCACACCTTACTCAAACAGGCCCCTGGGGCTTTGTTGGGAAGCTTATCAAGCATCCTGACTCCAAGGCGCGTGCAGCTGGTGCACTTTGCCGTGTGGGTGTCGGCGCAGCTGCGCGAAAGCAGTGCGGTGGAGAGGTGGGTTCTGAACTTTGGGAAGTCTGAGGTTTGGGGGTTGAGGGTAAGGGATTTAGGGTAAAGGAATACAGGTTTGAGAATTCCAGGTTTTAGGGTGTCACACTTCTGCAATGGGATACCTGGATACCCCGTGAGCTCAAAACTTAAGACCTCGATTTTCTCTCGAGTCACATGGGGCATTTCAGAGAACTATACTTTGGTAGCCTGTTTATATGCAGGATCCTACATACTGGCGCAGGGATTACGGTCCCTTATTTTCTGAACTCCCATGCGTCGTAGTGCAGCTAGGCACTGATGCGTTGTTGCTTAGTAATGGTCTTTGTGTTCCTTTGGGTGTGTTCATGTTGCTCCTAGTATGAGGCCAGAGTTTTGTTCTGGGTCAAAGGGGAAACCACAATAAGGACCTAGCAGAATGTAGACCGCATGTGAGAACTGAGTGGCACTTCTTTCTGCTGTGACTTCGGACGCCTACTTAACTTCGGACTTTTGCAGTTGTTTGGTTATGTCAGGCACCCCGAACATCCCCGAACCAAGCAAAGCTCTTAGCCGAAGAACTGCACAGTCAGTCTAGTTTGCAGCACTCAAGCCCTTTTTTGCTCGTGTGAGTTTCAAACGAAGCGGCCTTCTGCCACTTTATGCCCTTCTTATATAAGTAAGTTCGACAAGTGCTCGCTTTTGCGATATCCAACCCATGTCCCAAAGAGTTGCTTAGGACATATGTCTATGCACGCCCGGCACTATGTGCTTCCCTGATTCTGAAAACCCTGCGCGAGCCCCTAATCCTAGGCCTAGGGCGTCAACATTGGACCCCAGCTCTGTCCGATGAGTTTAGGGTGTAGGGTGAGCGGGTAAGTAACTAGATGTCGAATTTCATCGCTTCACATGTTTTGTTTGAATATGCGTTGCTGCATTTCATAGCAGCTATGCTGCCATGTCGTATGGCATGCGCCTCCATGTTTTGTACGTAGGCTACTCAGATCTTTTCAAGCACCAGCCTATAGTACACCGTGCAGTGCAGCATGATACCTGTGCCGTTTTATAGAGGTAGAGCCAGCATCAAATACGTGCGCTGTAACCTTGGACCGCGCCAGGCTTTTGCCTTACCTCAGTGCCGAAGATGTCTTCGCCAAGGCAAAGTACCAAGCGCGGCCAGGCGTGCAGCGCGAGCGGGAGTTCCGGAAAACGCGGCACCTGAATGGCCATGATAGCCTTTGGGCAGTAGGTCAGTAGGATCCTCCTCATTATATAAGGACCCCTAAAGTAGGTAGCCCTAGACTTGTTCAATTATCTTAGTTAGGACCCTTTGTATAAGGATCACCTTTGTACAAGGATGACTTTAACGAGGCACTGCTTCCATTTTTACGAACCCCCTTGCAGGGTTAGCTCTAGGACTTGGGAAGCCTACGTCAGTACTCCTAAGTAGTTCCTTTTTGTGGTTTATATTCAGAATCCTATAAGGTAATCCCAAAAAGGAACTACTTATTATAGGAGCCTACGTCAGTATGGAGGTCAGATTTCGGGTTTGTGGTCTGCGGTTTCCCAGCCTTTTCTGGTGGAGAGCCTGGGCTGAAAATCCAGCGGATGGTTTGTTTTTGGTTCTAGGGTTTTTGAGAGGGTTGGGTAATTTCGGGTTTAGGGGTTATAAGGTATTATATGGGTTAGGGGTCGAGTCCCTTGTGAAAAAGGGGTTTGGGATTTGAGTGCGTAAGGTTGCAGGTCTTCCAGGTTTGAGGCTAGTCTGCGCCGCGGTGCAGACGGTACTGCCACTGTTAAGAACCTCTATATATGACGTGCTTATGAAACCCTACAGCGTCTCCTAAACCCTGCCAACAAACCTTCAAAAGACTCAACAAAACTAAGGAGCCCGCAGAAAAACTCCCTTTGAGACTCCAGAAAACGCTGATAGAACAATACTTTATTCATCCCACTCCCTCTTCCGCTGAACGCCCACCCTAAACCGTTGTTGAGAAGCTAGTCGGACGCACCAATCGCCTCGTTCGAAAACAGATTCTGCACAGCTCCCGAGGCAGACGGTAAAAGGCAAACCGTAAACCCCAAACCCTAAACCCCTAAAGCCGCTAAAGCCCCTAAACCCTGAACCCTATAGACCTTAAGCCCTCAACACCAAAAAAACACGTGAGCCAGGAAGCCTGGACGAGACCTGGTTGGACCCGATCCACATCGCAGCCGGCTTGGGAGCGGCGCCTTGAACGGCTCAGCTCCAGGGGTTCTAATATGATTATTCAAAGCCTTCTGCTTGGAGGTTCTGTATAGGGTGTTAAAGGGTTTTCCTTAAGGGTTTCAGAAGGGTCTCGGAACGGGTTCATTGTTAGTGTTGTAAATGGTTTTATGGCAGGGGGGTTAAAGCTTCAGGGCTACGCACTTCAGGCTTCTTGCTTGTAGTTTGCTGGGGGGCATGAAATTATTCTCCCCTTGGGGGCGGAAGCATGACGTCACTACCGACGATGTTTGTTGCGGATGGTTGTTTGTAGCATTCGTGTCTTTGCAGCCTTGTCATGCCTCGACTCAGAAATCGCCCAGCATGCAAGAGGAAAGAGGGACAAGGTAGCTGTTTGCCCTTGCCCTGCTATGCGCTTGGCATGCATTTATTTGCAGAGGTTTGCCTTACTGTTGGCACCTGTAATTTCTGAAGACTTCCTGTGGCTGAGTCAAAGCTATGATGAGATTCCCCAATGGCTGCTGGATATATCCGAGAACGTGAACAGTTTCGTTTTGGTAGGGATCTTTGGGCCCTGTTCTGGCAGCACCAGAACCGCTAAGATCCGACGTTTGTGCCTGGAGCTCGGCTTGGACTCAGGACGGGGACACAATCGAGTGGTGCAACTGGGGGATGTTTGGGAGAAGGAGCGGGGAAGGAGGTTTCACTATTTCATCTATGCCGACGACAATGGCGAGTTTACTTTCAAGCCCGGATGCTCTCCTAGTGGCTGCGGCGATATCGGCTTGACACCTGAACCGGATGAGACGGCGCCTCGGTTCTTTCAGCGTCTGCTACTCGTGCAGCAGCCGGCAGTATCGTCCCCAATCTTGGGGGATGAGGATTGCCGGCCGGAGAGGATGTTCAGCTGCTCCACCGTCTTTGACCGGAAGTGTATCGCTTTCCATTGGTCAGTTCGGCGCAACTTTCGAGTGTTCGAAGACTTCGTGGAGGTGTCCATGCTCGCCGCTGCCACTTGTTCTCTCAACGAGGTGATGGAAGCAGCCTATCGTGGATACACGTGGTCCTACCGGGCTTTTCAGACTACCGGGAACCGCACGCGCTATCATGAGCACAGAGGAAACTACATCCGAAACATGCATCCTTGCTTCCCCCGCAAAGTTCCGGGTGGCTACCGGGACAGTCAACTCGTCGCCTGGATGCGGCCGCAACTCTCTCGCTGCGCTTCCGATCAGCTGGGCCCATCATCCGAGCTTCAGCGCGGTTGCGATCCGGAAGACCAGTGTCTGAATCCTCCTCTGAACGTGGATTATTCGACTTTTCTACCCTGCTCTCCGTGGGCAAAGGGTGAGGACTACTGCATGAAGAAGCCAACAAGTGTGACACGTCTTCCAAAGGTGGACGGACGGCGCTTTGTGAATTTGTACATGGGTGGCATGCTGGGGCATGGATTGCCGGATATTCCACAGTTGGATCCGACCAGCTCCCGGGATCGGCTTTGTGCCCTTGGCCGCCGCAACTACAAGGGCCTGGTTCGCCACTTCGCATCCAGGCCTACGATGAGAAAGATATCTCATCTGCCAGCCGACGGACATTGCAACGACCTCTGCAACGCGCTGTTGATAGGGGCCACAGTCCATGCTAAGCATCCCAGCCACGCCGTCGCCGAGGTGAAGTTGCAAGCTATAGACGAAAGCCACATCTGCATGACAAGCTTTCTCCGCACCTGGTCAATGATGGACCTCCTCGGCTCAGGAGCGATTTTTTTTCAGAAGGGAGCCCCATGTAGACTATAAAGCAGAATCATACAACTACAACGACAACTATAACTACGACTTTAGCTACATTGGCATGTATGTACGTATGTATGTACGTATGTATGATGTACGTAGGTACGCACGTGTATATCTGTGTATATATATATACACATGCAAAGAACGATCCCTATGGACTCCCAATTGAAAGAACCCTGGAGGATGGACTTCAATGTACGAGTTGTTGCAGCGGGAGGTTGAGCGTCGCTCCCCCCAAAGCCAGGTTGGAGCCAGGGACCCAGTTGCTTTGACGGCGGACGTCCCGCGGGAGGTCTGGGAATCCATTTCGATTCCGGGGGACCTCGGCTGGAGCGATTATCCATGTCAGGTAGACACCTTTGTGAGGCTGATTCTTCGGGGTGTTGAAAATTCAACACTCCGTGCTGGATTTGTGCATGCGGCACAGACTTACATCTTCAGCTGTGAGATCGCGTCATGGTTGCACCCAAGTATGGCATCCGTTTGGGCCGTCATCGTGCTCATCGGACGTCTGGGCGTGAATGTTGAGGTCGCGTCGCCTTGTGACTCATAAGAAAGTCGCACCTCCCACACTGTGAAAGCTTAGCCCTACGTCGCCTAAAAGCCCAAACCACGAAATCCCCAAACGTTCCCACAGATCCTTCAACCTAGCGCTTCACAGCCCTCATCGCGAAACCCGGAAGCCCTAAATCCTTCATGGAAACCCTAGGAGGATTCCTTGTAAGGGAACCTTTCGAGAAATCCTTCTTCCTTGTTGAACGAGCCCTTGCAGGAGCAATGAAGGAACCCTGATAGCAACCCTTCAAGAAACCCTAATCGAGCTCTTGCAGGAACCCTCGCAGCAACCCTCAAAGGAAACTTTACAGGAGCCCTCACAGCAACCCTTAGCCTTAACCCTAAGCCCTGAACCGCCTAAACGATAGGAGCCCCCCAAAGGACCCCTGACAGCACAGGTGCCGGCCATGGAGGTGCTTCTGAAGCACGTGGTGGAGACGGCGCGCACCCCGAGCACTTAGGGGTGAAAAGGGTTCTTAGTTAAAAGGTATTCCTTTATGGGTTCTTTCAGGGCTTTGGGAGTAGCCGTCGTGTTTGGGCTCATGGGTAATTTGGGGTGGAGGGTTCAGGATGCTCGAGTGTATAGTTGAGGGCTTTTAGTGTGGCTAAGGCTTTGGAATCCTGGGAGTTACGGCTTGAGGGTTTAAGTCGGGATGAGAGATTTAGGGGTTGAAAGCCCGAGGTTTTGCTACTGTTTTTGTGTTGAGGTTGCCTCAGGTCTGCCGTAACTCCTCTCAGGTGTGTTACGTAGTCACTGCATGTCTACCTAATGGTAAAAAATGAAGCTTCTTGCATTATTTTGGCATGGGTTCCAGCAGGAATACAGGTGTAGAAGGTGAGGTTCATCGCAAAGATTTGTTGACTCTTACATCCTACGTGCTTAAGAGGTCGCTCCAGGACGGTGAGTGCAGGAGGGGTCTGAAAGGCCGAATGCCGATTCTTCTTCCTGCCTGGATTCTTGCAGCAACATGAGCACTGTTCTCACTTGCCGGCATCATTTTGATTGTTCCGTTTCGTGCCGCTGTATTGCTGAAACTCTTTTTTCTGCGCGTATCCTACAGCAACAGCCTGTGAAGTCGCAGGCCAAGCTGAAGACCGCGGAGGAGTATGTAAACACTCAGTGTGGCTTGGCCGACACTTCCGGTAACATAGACGGGAAGAGTCCGGGTAGAGGTCGGAATAAATTGCCAATGTATATTTGTTGGGCTTCTTTGTTACTTATAATGCAACATACCTCAAGACCCGATTCTACTTGCTGAGGCTATTGAGGCTCCTATACTAACACTAAGCTTGACTTGAGATTTCGGAGTGACAGGGTCTGAACCTTCAACCCAAAACAGAACTAGGATCTGCTGCAGGAAGATCGCATACGACTCGTGAACGTGTGAAGGAAGGAGTGCAAATGGATGCATGGGAACGATCGGGAGGGTTAAGAAGCAGACCGACGTGTTTTGCATGGAGACATCGTCAGTTATATATCGGGGGCTAAACGACCTTTTGCATGAACAAATGTTTGCTTGAATGAGTTCACTACCACATCATGCGCAGCAACGCTGAGTGATTGATGAGACGACGAATATAACATGCGCATCAAGTCATGATCTGTGCGTGCGTTTATGACCAGGCAGGTAGGTTCTTGCACACGGAGCCATAAAGATGTGAACGCGTCAGGTCCTTCACTTAGCTGTTCACTAAGTAAACCTCGAACATGAACCCCAAACCGTGTAAAACCGTAAAGCCTAAACCTTCAGCCCCACAGCAGCGCGACCTGGTCGCTTGGCGGGTGGCAGAACAAAATTTAAGCAACCGTAAACTCGAAATCTGAAATGGCTGAAATCTTCGAATCTACACCAATCTAGGGGCTTCTGAAATACCCCGAGCGCTACACAACCAAACAACATCAATCTTGTCGAAGTGTAAACGAGGGCTTAGAAGAGAGGAGAGGAGAACCTGAGTTCAGGTTCAGAATGCTTTATAGCGTCATAGGGTTTAGGGTTTATACGGTTTAGGATTCAAGGTTTAGTCGCATGAAGCAACACGTTACGGCAAGTGAAGCGGAGACATTTGTTCGCCAAAGGCCTGGTCCACAAGATCACCGGCGAAGGCGAAAACCGACAGGAGTGGCAACTCGGCAGTGGGCTGTTAAACCGCCTTTCCCGTCCCCTCCGAAAAAAGACCGTAACCCGGCCCATAACCCTTAAGCCCATACCAAAGCCGGAATGGAGGCATGAGACTCGAAGGGACCGAATAGGTGAGATGAAGGTAAGTTCGGTGCGGGACTCCCGAATAGGAGCTCTTGTATTGTAGTAGGGATCCGTAATGCTACCTATCATCACCCCACTTCTTGATGGGGACAAATCCCAGCGATTTGGGGAAGGGAAAGGGTTGAGGGCCTAAGGAGTTTCGGCACGCCGCCGCTGGGGTGCGGGTGCTTTCAGGGTTTAGGCTGGAGATTGTTAGATATAGGTTTGGGAACCACTTGCAATGGAAAGCCTGTACGTCACAGTTCTGCTGTTCGTGTCTGTTTTGGGTTGGGTGGGTTTCCGGGCTTGCTGATCCGAACTTGTGCAGGGTTTTTTCCTGTGAGAGAGTGTCAGGTTGTGTGGGCTGATGTTATTTTCGGACTTGGGGCTTTGTTTTTTTTTTGAAGTGGGGCAGCTCCACGCGAAGGTGATATTAATTCGAGCATCCTCTTACCCGTCGCAGCCGAGGAACGAGAATTACTACCAGCCGCTGCACGATGCCACCAACGCAGGCTGGCTGTCTCCCGGTTCTCTATAACTCGGTAACAGACTAGACCTCAATACAGAACCTAAACCTTCCTAAACCCTAAGCCCTAAGCCGCATAGCTCAGCAACCCAAGCTCCAAGTGGGACAGAAGTTACGGCCCCCGACCCACACATCACCTCAAGGATTTTGGCATGTGCAGCATTTTGCTTTGGAGTTTGCACTGGCTCTTTTCTGTTTTTTTCTTTAGGATCTGGAGACCGAAAGCATTGACCCGAGAACGGCAGCAAAAGTGGTTGCCGCTTACAACCCAAGGCGACCGTAACACTCACAACTAGGGACGTACGTCATTGCAAGGGCTAAGCACTTAAATCAGGGCCGCATGAATGCCGGAGCCACACAAGGCTAAAAGCCGTAAAGGGTGGAAGACCTAATCTTTGTGCTCGAAATTCTCGTCGCAGTGTTTAGAGTTTGGAGTCTTGTTGGTGTAGATGGTAAGTGGTAAGACTCCTCGTTCTGGAAGGGGAGAAAGTGATTCTTCTTGAGGCCGTCGTCTTGACCCGGTTGCCGAGTTGCGGATGAATGTGCAGACTCGTAACTTTTGGATAATTGTCATTGTTGCAGAAATCCGTGTATTCCTCGTAGTTCGCCCTGTAGTTTGCATGATGCGAGCGTGGCATGCCGTTTCTGCGAACTGAGTTCCTGCAAAACAGCCGTGTTAGTGGGGCTTAGGGCGGTGGCATCCCAATCCCTACTGACTTTAGCGGCCCCGTGTGGTTTCCCCTCATGTTTTCGAGTAAGCTTTTGCAATACACCTTAAACCTGAAACAAGCCCCAAATAACCTTTGTTCAGGTCCAGCATGTCGATGGGAAACTTCAAGCTTCAAATCTGGACAATAAAGGATCAGAATAGAGGCAGAAGCCCCCCCCCCCTACCAAGAGACTGAGGGCCTCCTGAATTCTGAACCTAGTGCACCTAGACCTTAGTAATTAAAAAAAGTATATATATATATATTCAGCCACATGCCACAACCAAAGGCAACCGGCAGCATCAAGCCGGAACCTATAAGCCCTGAAATCAAGCCTCGGCCTCTCCGATAAGAAAATCACACACACCCTAAGCCCTGAACCCTTAGCCCCGATAAACCTCTAAAATGAAGCCCTAAAGGCATCCGCGACGTCTCCATGTGGCTCCTTGAGCATAAAGCCGATGCCAGAGCCAAGAACAAGGACGGGGTTTAAGAGTTTGTTCGGGGGGATCTCACCATCAGCAACCCTCCGCCACTCTTAATGAGGCTTGCAATGGTTTTAAGCTTTGTGTACAATGAAGACTTGGCTGTCGGGTTTACTTATGGGGATCGGTGGACCCAGTTCAAGCAGGTTACACGGTTGTAGGTCAACCGTAGGCCCTTCTACAATAAAAACCAAGCTTTAGATGTGGCTGTGTGTAGCCTTTGAAAGCGTTTGAAAGGGTTTAGAAGATTTCGAGGTTTAGGATTGGGGCTGTTGTCTGTCTCCTCCCAGGTCTTAGGGTCGTAATGAGATTTAGGGTTTGTGGCTCTACGGGTAAGTCTAAGTGAAAGCGTGAAGGGTTTCGGGCGGTTGAGGGTTCGAGGTAAAGGTGGCAGTGTTCAGGTTTTTGAGTTAGATTTTGTTGCTTGCTTGGGCTTTGAGGCTTACCGAGTTTAGTTAAGAGTATCGTTTGAGTGTGATTTGCACTGCTGGTTTTTTGTCAAGAGTACTAAGAAGGTGCACTAGTCACTAGTGACATTAGTTTTATTTGCTATCCTGCTTATGCTTACAATTAGTAGTAGATCTTGTCAAAATGTATTTTACTGCGAGCATTCGCAAAGTCCTGAACTGATCGGGATGTCATAAAGAATTTCGATAGCGTGTCGAGGGGCCTTTATAGTAAGGATACTCTGTCTAGGGTTCCGCAGAATGTAGGGTCCCTGATTTTCTGAAGCTCCCATATCGTGCAGGATTTTGGCAGGCATAATGCGAACTCATCCGAGGTCCTGGGCATCAGAAGCCCTGTAAATCGAAGACAGAGACCTGGCTAGATAGTAAGAGACCTGGGTAGTAAGACTTACACCGGTGCTGGTGGTGGTGGGAGTATCTACTGCGTGTGCTTCCCGGTTTTTCATGCCCGACCTAAACCCAAAACCATCCTTTTAAGGGGCCCTGAGTGTGCCCTGTAGAAGGACGGAGTTACTCCTCTTCACTTCGTGGCTCTTCGAGGCCGACATGAAGGGCGGGGTTTACTTAGGG